CGGCCGCGCGGGCCCCGTTCCCTCAGTGGGGCCTCTGCTGCCGCTGGGCCGTGGAGCTCCGGGTTGCCGCAGCGGCCGTTCCTCCGCTTGGAAGGCCTTTTGCGAGTTTTACGCTGTTGGTAGTGGAGCCTAGCAGGGAGGCCCCGTGTGCGCTACAGCCGGGACGGTGCTGATACCAGGCCGCGCTGGAGGGGGAAGTGTCGGGACGCGCCCCCGAGGCTCTTCTGGGCTTTGCACGGGCCCCCAAGAAGCACGAGTAATCACCAACGGCAAGTGTCGCTCCCCTTAGGTTGCTTATGCAATTTTCTAATCAAATGTGTGCTGCGAAGGGCTTGCAGAAGAAGAGAGGACAGGTTTCTGTTGCCGTCACCTTGACTTGCTTGATTGCAGCGTGTTTGAAGGTGATCAAGCTCCAGCTATGGCAAAGGCAGTTTTCTGTGTCACTGAACGAGTAATACAGCCCAGTGTGGCTAAGGACAGACCTGCCTGGCTCTCTGAGCATGGTAGTGACAAGTTGTGGCTAGTAAGCATGCGTATAAGCAGATAGGGAATTTCAGCTTTGAAATGCTGAGATGGAAGCATCAGATAAATGGTAATTTTCTGTAAATGTCTCATGAGAAGTTTCAACCAAATTTTTTTTTTTTGCTCCTTCCTGTTAGCTCAACATCTCTTTCCCAGCCACTGGCTGCCAGAAGCTCATTGAAGTGGATGATGAGCGCAAGCTGAGAACATTCTATGAGAAGCGGATGGCCACGGAGGTTGCAGCTGATTCTCTTGGTGAGGAGTGGAAGGTAAGAAGTGTAGAAGGATGTGCCAGAGCTGTATTCGAGGAACTTAAATTACAAAATTTCTCCAGTACACAGTTGTCATACTAGAGTGCTTGTGTGGTGTACAGTTGTTGGCAGGTATGTTGAAAGTGTCTCTTGCTATATGTACTGAATTTGGTGATTGGGCTAGCCTCTTCTGCTACCTTGATTTATTTTCTGTTTAGAGTTTCTTGCTGCTCTTTGCAGTAGTTTTTTGTTCCTTATTTGAGTGCCGTCTTGGTATTCAGGACTGTAAAACTGCTGATCCTTTCTTTACTTAACAAGTTGAAAATTGCCTTCATTGTGTTTAAACTGCTGCTAGTGCATGGGGGAAAAAACATGCTGGGCCTGTGTTGTGGTTTAGCCCCAGCCCGCAGCTAAGCACCACGCAGCCGCTCACTCACTCCCCCTACCCCGATGGGATGGGGGAGAGAATTGGAGGAGTAAGAGTGAGAAACACTCCTGGGTTGAGATAAGAACGGTTTAAAAATTGAGATAAAGTAAAATAGTAATAATAATAATAGAAACATGATAATAATAATAATAATATACAAAACAAGTGATGCACAATGCAATTGCTCACCACCCACTGACCGATACTCAGACAGTTCCCGAGCAGCGATCGCTGCTCCCCGGCCAACCGCCCCCCAGTTTGAGCATGATGTCACATGGTATGGAATAGCCCTTTGGTCAGTTTGGATCAACTATTCTGGCTGTGCCCCCTCCCAGCTTCTTGTGTACCTGGCAGGGAAACTGAAAATTCCGTGACTAGCGTAAGCACTACTTAGCAACAACTAAGAACATCAACGTGTTATCAACATTCTTCTCCTACTAAATCCAAAACACAGTGCTATGCCTGCTACTAGGAAGAAAATTAACTCTATCCCAGCCGAAACCAGGACAGCCTGGTGGATGGGCTTGGAATAGTTGAACACTAACACAGATAGTCCAGGTGAATTTGTTGGTCTTTTCTGCTGCCACCTTCACAAGGAAGGCAATAAAAGCTTTACTCTTCTCTTCGTTTTCACCCACGTATGCCTACTCCAGACACTCTTGTGTTGTATGCACATTTCCAGTTTCTGATGGTAACAGGCTTGGTTAGGTTTAGGATTAAAGAAAAGCTAGACAATAACAGACAAAATTCAGTCTGGTGTAGCTTAAACAAATAGGAATTTAAATTTTGCATATATATTTGAAGATAAGTAGAATAAATGGAAATCCTGGTATGCAGAGGTATTTTTCACATCTGTTAAGTAAAATTCTTGAACTGTTGGGGTGGTGTTGGTTAAAGAAGTTGTTTGTGTCAGCAGTAACTGACTATTCCTGAATCATGGGTGCAGTGCCCCATTGTTTTGAACAGTATGTTGTGATATCCACCACTGCTTCTTCTTGAAGTAATAGAGATGTGTGAGCAGCTAAAAAGCGTATTTCTGTGTCTTCACAGGGCTATGTTGTCCGGATCAGTGGTGGCAACGACAAACAAGGCTTCCCTATGAAGCAAGGTGTCCTGACTCATGGACGTGTCCGCCTTCTGCTCAGCAAGGGCCACTCCTGCTATCGCCCCAGAAGAACTGGAGAGAGAAAACGCAAATCTGTTCGCGGTTGCATTGTTGATGCCAACCTGAGTGTTCTGAACTTGGTCATAGTGAAAAAGGGTAAGAGTCTGGGTGACGTAAGCAATAGGTAGAAGCAGGCACCTGGAAGGAGCCTGCTTGCTAGTGGCTGAGAAGTTCTGTATACTTGAGAGTGTGAATGTGTCTTCAAATGACCTCTGAGCATTACATTCTTGTAATTTTAAAACTGGTCACTGAAACGCTTCTATTGCTGCCAGTGATTTGACCACATTAAATCAGCAAGCGTAGCTAGGGGTGGTGCTGTTGGCAGGTGAACCCCAAGGATTATCTAGTATTATCTTCAGTTTTTATGCATTTTAAACTTAAAGTAGAAATTCACTAACGAAGCAGGTGTTCAGTAGATGCAAGATTAATTGTCATGTTTAAACTTACTCTCAAAGGTGAAAAGGATATTCCTGGGCTGACAGACACAACTGTGCCCCGCCGTCTTGGTCCCAAGAGGGCTAGCAGAATCCGCAAGCTGTTCAACCTGTCTAAGGAGGATGATGTTCGTCAGTATGTTGTGAGGAAGCCTCTGAACAAAGAGGGTAAGAACTCAAATTTTACAACTCTTCCGTTCCATGTAATTCTCAGCGAAGAGGTGTCCAGCCTACTGCAGTGAATGAAGCACACTATATAGTAGTAGATTCAGGAGCTGACTGTCACAATATTTAAGCTTTATTAGCTGTAACTTATGGATAAGAAGTGGGGTTCTTGGTTACCCCATTTCTATTACCCCTCTCTTCCCTTTCCACCTACTTTGGCCCAATTTGTTTAAATGTTTGATAGAATCTGGAGTCATACTTACTAGTGGTTCTAAGAATAATCCAAAAATAATTGTTGCTAAAAGAAGTTTAAATATGTTGCGGAATGTTTTTGAAACATTTTTATGAGGTGGAGGAAAAAAGCCATATATAGAGAAGATACTAAGATTTTTTTTCCCCATTGCCTGTGGCAGCCTCTGAAATGAGCTTTTATTGGGAGGGCACTGATTTGCTTACCACCTGTCTCTTGCAGTGTAAGTTTTAATTTCAGGTTCTTTTGCATTTGATCAGGGAACAGAAAGGGTGAGGATTTTTAGCAGAAAGGACATGATAAAGGTTGGGAACTGTGAAAGCTTGTTGGGTAAAAGACTGCTATTTTCTGCATCATAGGAACTATTCTGTCCATTAAAGAATGTGATCATGGTGGACATTGGACTGTTGCTTGTGACTACTGAAGGCGGGCAGGATTGAGTAGTGAAATTTTACGGATGTGTGTGGTGGTGTGTTTTGTTTGCTCATTATGGGCTATGTAGATTTGGGGGTTTTTTTTGGAGAAAAACATGTCAAGCTAATGTAGAACTGTAGAGAGCTTTTTAACACTGATAGTATAATGTCTTGTTCTGAAAGCTGGATGATGAGTTTCCATATTCTTTAAGTGTTTTAAGTCTAGGGGAATTATTTAAGACAGGCCTGCTGAGAAGCTAGGAATTTTCACAAAAATGCAGGGAGTTAGAGGTGCATTACTTACACTTCGTTGCTCATAATAAATCATGAGCATTAAGGCTATATGTTGTTAATGCTATGTCTGATGGTAATCGGTAACTTTTCCTGCAAAATCTGTCAAGATGTTGAACTCTATGCATGAAGTTGCTTTAAGATGTAGTACACGAAATAATGTTACTGTAACAGTAAATGGAACTTTTAAGTTTGCCATCTGAGGCCTCTTTGGAAGATAATCTGCCACTTCTGCTGATTCGTAATGCCTTTTTTAGGCAAGAAACCAAGAACCAAGGCTCCTAAGATCCAGCGACTAGTGACCCCTCGAGTTCTGCAACATAAGCGCAGACGTATTGCTCTGAAGAAGCAGCGCACTCAAAAGAATAAGGAGGAGGCAGCAGAATACGCGAAGCTCTTGGCCAAGAGAATGAAGGTGTGTTCTTCCTTATAACTCAGCTGTATGGAGTACCTCATACCCCAGAATCGAGGGATTTGATAAACTTGACTGTACACTTAGAGCTGCTCTGTACCTAGCTCATTTTGAATAGGAATGCCTGAGTGAGTATAAACATTGCTAGTCAAATGTTTTTGTGAGCATTTGAATCCATTTTTGCTAGTCCTAGAATAGTAGAAATTAACCAGACCAATTAATTTAACTGAGAGCTGATTTTTTTGAAGAAAACAACAGTTATGGCCTGTGAAGATAAGTTTTGCAGTAGCAGTTTTAGTTTAAATGAATTCTAGTTTAATTCAGATGCCCAAGCATCTTGAGTGATTGCATGGAGAAACAGGATCCAGCAGTTGACCTGGATGGAAGATAACTTGGCAAGAAGCTATTTGTTTGGATGAGTTTGCTCTTGCATCTAAAACAGTAGTGACTGCCAAAGCAATACTGCTGGAATACTTGCCACAGTATTGGAGTGTTTAATGACTTCCAGACTGAAACCAAGAGCAGATAGACCTCTAGTATGTTGTGAACTCTGCGTTAGTATTTCTGCTGTAATTTTGGACACTAGTCTATATTGTTCAAAGACATGGGTCTGTACAGGTTTGGATACTTGTAGAATTTTTCTCATCTGTGAAGAAGGGAAACTCTGTTTTGCTTTATTGACTTAAGGAATCCATTCTTTCTGGTACCTACCTTCAAGTTGCATTTTCCTTTGTTCCTTTGTAGATGTTTTGAAGTGCTTGATTATATGTAACGTCTCAGTGCTCAGTTCATGCTGCTTTCCTTTTCAGGAAGCCAAGGAGAAACGCCAGGAGCAGATTGCGAAGAGACGCCGGCTTTCTTCATTGAGAGCTTCTACGTCTAAGTCTGAGTCAAGTCAGAAGTAAAGATGTACCTGATACTAAAAATAAACCCTTTTTGTGGTTAACTTTCAGTATGAGACTTTCCAGTGCATGTTGTTACTGGCCATCTCTTACACAGTAGTCAAGACTAACTATATCATGCAGACCAAACTGGAACCATAAACCTTGGTCTTGATTCAATTCTCTTTTGAGAACTTGTAATATATATTGTCTATAGTGAGAAGTTCCAATTCATAATAACCTTGTGCGTGCATGTTGATTTTTCTACAAGCAGGATTTGTGTGTAATGACAAAATCCTGTGCGATGGTTCAGCAGTGTCCACAGGAACTAAACTTAAGCTAATTTTTAGGAGCTGTGGCTAAAACTCACTTGGTACTGTTCAGTGGTTTGTTTGGGGGTTTTTAATCTTAAGTACAGGGTAGTGTTTCCAGATGAGGAATCATGTCACTTTTGATACTGAGTGTAAGATTGGTAAAACGTAAAGCCTTCAGCTGATTATTGGCAAAATTAAGTACAATTAAGTCATTCACTGGAATGCGCTCCCCAGGGAAGTGGTCATGGCACCAAGCCTGTCAGAGCTCAAGGAGCATCTGGATGATGCTCTTAGTCATATGATTTAGTTTTAGCAAGTCCTGCGAGGAGCAGGGAGTTGGACCCATAAGGGTCACCGAGTCCCTTCCAACTCAAGATATTCTATAAATATATCGGCATTCTGCTCTTGAAATTAGTAGTGAATACTGAGCATGATTAAGCCAGCCATTAAAAGGTTTGACTTAAGAGATTCTACTCAAGGATAAAAAACTTCACTGTTTCTATGTATTCAGACTGTACTTTGTGCAGATCTAATACCAAGTAAGGGTGATGGGAATTCTGCTCTGACTTAAGAATACATGTTAAGTATTTGATGTTAGAATGGTCTGCAGCTAAATAGATTGTCTTAGTTGTTCTTAAAATAGTAATCAGGATCCACCTCAGTTTTTGTTGAGATAGATTCTTCTATTTCCAGTATAAAAACTTAAGTACATTAAGCTTTATGACCACCTTAGAAGTTACAAAGCTTTTTTTTTTTTTTTCCCCCTTTCTGGGTGTGTGACAAGGCTGTTGACAGTCAGGTAGGGCCTTGACTTACAGAAGCAATTTTTTAATACACTGAATGTGGAATCTGGACTCTAGAAAATCAGAGTTGCAGAACACATGACTTGCTGGCAGTCGCTTGTGGGCATAGAAGGATCAAATTGCCATCCTTGAACTTTTGGTTTGTGTTAGGGTGAAGGGATACAGATCTCTTGACAAGGGTAGATAGAATTTGCGATGAAGCCTATGTGTGCAGAAGCCTCAGACCAAGAGAATTGGCCAAAGCAGTTACTCCAAGCTTCCATTTAAGCTGTCTTTGACAGCATAATTGTTCAGGTGGAAGAATAATCATAGACTGTTTTTTAATGACAAATCAACTACATAATCAGAAAAGGCAAAGAGGGTTAGCAGCAGTTAAGTTGAGTTAAAAAGAATGCTGGCTAGTTTCTTAAAATTTTAAGAGTACAATTTTATATAAGGCAACCTAGATAACATCAGTGTATTCTTTTTTTTGTGGAAGCCACATTCAAAACCTATGGTTTCACTTCAAACAAGAGGTTCTTTACTCTTAGTAGTGAAGATAGCCACATAGGCCCTGTTAAGCCTGTCACTAAAATAAAAAGTGTACCTTTCACAGATGCACTTACAATTATATGTCAGTCTCTCAGCTGCAAAATTTGATATGGAGAAAAGGTGGATAAATCTGTGTATCTGGCAGTCAGATATCCTTGATATAACATCCTTAACGTGCTTACTAAAACCCAAACTTGCATGCACACATAACAGATCTTTACAGTAAAGAAGTCGTATCAACAGGCACTGTCAAGCAAAAGGGGATCTCATCTTTAAGTATAGGATTAGCACTCACTAAATTCACAACTCTGAGAATTTTACAATAATCTGCAGAAGAGAAATACGCATCACTAACACTGTCTGGCCTTCTCTTCTGGATCCTAGTAACAGGTACTTGCATGTGATTAAGAGGCACTTACTCTGGTCACAGTCACCAAGAACTGGCTGAAAAGGACCTGGGGGTGTTGGTCAACAGCTGGCTGAACATGAGCCAGCAGTGTGCCCAGGTGGCCAAGAAGGCCAACAGCATCCTGGCTTGTATCAGGAATAGTGTGACCAGCAGGAGCAGGGAGGTGATTGTCCCCCTGTCCTTGGCGCTGCTGAGGCCGCACCTGGAATACTGTGTCCAGTTTTGGGCCCCTCAATACAAGAAAGACATTGAGGTGCTGGAGCATGTCCAGAGAAGGGCAACAAGGCTGGTGAAGGGTCTGGAGCACAGGCCTTATGAGGAGCGGCTGAGGGAACTGGGGTTGTTTAGCCTGGAGAAGAGGAGGCTGAGGGGAGACCTTATCGCTCTCTACGACTACCTGAAAGGAGGTTGTAGTGAGGTGGGTGTTGGTCTTTTCTCCCAAGTAGTTAGCAATAGGATGAGAGGAAATGGGCTCGAGCTGTGCCAGGGGAGGTTTAGGTTGGATATTAGGAAAAACTTTTTTACGGAAAGGGTGGTCAAGCATTGGAACAGTCTGCCCAGAGAGGTGGTGGAGTCACCATCCCTGGAAGCGTTCAAAAAATGGGTGGATGTGGCACTTCACGACATGGTTTAGTCCAGTCTATCCTTCATAGGTTTAGTGTGGACTTTGTAGTGTAGGTTAATGGTTGGACTGGATGATCTTAAAGGTCTTTTCCAACCTAAATGATTCTATGATTCTTGTACTGGTCAGCCCAGACTTGGACATAGCACCCAGACATGTTTCACCAGCACTGAGGGGAAAGATCACATCCCTCCACCTACTGGCAGTGCTAACCTAGTGCACCCCAGGACACTGTTGTCTTGCTTTGCTGTGAGGGCACTCTGCTGGCTAACGGTCAGCTTGATGTCCACTGGGAACCCCAGGTCTTTTCCTGCCCAGCTGCTCTCCAGCCCATCTGCCCCCAGCCTGCACTGGTGCATGAGGTTATTCCTACCCAGAGGCAGGACCTTCGTGTTTCCTTTTGGACCCCATTGATTCTCTCCAGCTTGGCAATTTAGTGACTCTTCCTTTACTCCTCTTGGTTGACAGTAGAAGTTTGTCTCTACAGAGCTGGGCAGAACTACCACTAATGAGTATTCTGATGGTAGCTCCAAACACATGAAGGATCAGAGCTTCCTTAAGCCAGCTCCTTCTGCTGTTGCCTTCTACCATCGCATTCTCCCAAGTTTCCCACCTGATTTTGGCACAGGAGACGGCCATTCCCTCCTCCCTACAGCTTCAAACCCAAATCCTGTGTTCGTGCTTCTTTGGGGATTCCTCAAATGCAAGCTTTTGTTCCTGTCTCTTACACCCTCCTTCAGCTTCCCCTCTCAAAAGGGCATATTAAAGGCAGCATATTAGGAAAGTAGTGTAATATTGTTAGCAGGCATCATTATTAAAAAGAGAGCAGTGACAAACACAGTCAGATAAACCAAGGAAAGTCATTGACCTCTGCCCACAGCTGCCCCATTTAAAAAAAAAAAAAAAATCTGGAAACTGGGTGTAAACCTGCAAGTATGTTAGGAGGCAGGAGGTCCACCACTGTCTCTTGCAAGCTAGGATGCATCACTGAAAGCACCACTCTCTGCCCCTGCTACAAAGCCACAGAGAAACCAGAACTCCCAGAAGTGTTCTGCCAAGTACAGCCACCAACCTGTTCCCACCCACTGATTAATGATGCTTTTCCCAGTCAGCAGAGAGCAGTGGCTCTATCATCAGGAGGACAGGGTCCATGACTTCCCTGCAAACAAGATCTTCATGGATTCTGCCTCCCCGAGCCTGTTTTTCTCTTCCTACCTCTGCTAGTCCCCATGGCTTGCTTAAGGTGCCACAGAGCCATCCTCTCCCGTGAACCAAATCTTCACAAGTGAATCCCATGTTTTCTCTTCTTCTCCTCCTGCTACAAATGCTCCCGCTCTTTCCCACCATTCAGAAGTCACTGAGGTACTACGGAACAATGCCCAAAAGAGGCAGTCTAAAGTCTCTGCTTTTGCCCAACTATAGGCTTATAAGAGTTCGCTTTTAAGATGAAATTCTGTCAAGCAGGTAAGTTCCAATGGCAAAAAAGCTGAACAACTGAAATTTTTTTTTTTTACACAGGATGCATACATATTTTATTTTGGGAAACACATTAAAAATTGTTTCTTAGTCTAGGATATCTATACAGAATTCAGAATATGCAGAGTGCCCTTTTAAACTCAAGAAACATTTGTCACATGTACAAAAACATTACAGAGAAACACTTGTTAATCAAAGCACAGTAAATGGATGCTGTTTTTCAACAGTTCAAAACAGTCTCTAAACCAGTGCAAATTTTATGGCATTAAAGAAAACTTCCCAGCTCACTTAATAAATTCATAATTTATTCACACTACATCCTTTCATCCTTATTACAATACAGTTTATTTTAAGCTCCTAAAAGGAGTTTAATGTGCTTCTAAAAACAGCAAACAATCCCTTTTGTTTGCACCACTGATTGATGCAGACTGAAAGAACAAATAAAACCCCCATCCGTTTCTCTCCTTGTATGCATCATAATATACAGCACAGTAGAACAGAACTAGAGTCCAATTCAACCAGTTTCAAGAGTTAAAAGTTACAAGAGTGTTTGTTTTTTAAAAAGGTCCATAATGAAAAGCTGATATACAGAAGACACCTTAAGGTCTTTATTAGTCAAAAGAAAAAAATCAAACCTTGTTGAAAATGTACAGTTATCTGAATAAGACAACCTGCTTACCACTTAATGAAATAAAGTTATCTGCATTGAAATAATTGTTGAATTAAGAGTTTTAAAAAGAGAAAACTACTGAGTGGATTCTTCAGTTACTTACATTTTAACAATTTGTTTTAAAAATATAATTTCTATGATCTAATTTAATATACATTTTGAAAATATCCCCTATGTTGCAGTTATTCAAGGAAAGCAGTAAACTCAATGAAAGGTATATTCTAGCTGCAGCAATACAAAAAGCCATTAATTCACAGTTAAAATGGAATAAAATTACTCATTCACAAGTGCAATGTAGCTTGAGCTTAACCAATGTGAAATTCCACTAGGAACAAGGCTAAGTTACTTGCAAAAAAATGAATTTAGTTCGAAAGACATGTACTAAATAAAATATTTTCCATTAAAATTGTAGTCTAAACTTGAGTTATATAAAATGTGAAGACAGGATATGACTATAAGTAACATACAGATGCTTCTAGTAACATGTAAAAGCTGGTACCTATTACTGTGCCAATACTGCAGCCACATTGATCTCTTATGCCTGCGGAGTTTTGAAAGTTGTTATGTCTTGGTAATGTGCCAGAATATAATTCATAAAGAAAAACTTTGACACTTAAGAATCCTGATTTTAAACTTTAAGACCCCATTTGTTACTTTAATTCTACAAAAAATAGCTATTTTGATATGAGCACACAAGCTATATATAACTGTTTTACAGCTGGGTGAAAGGTGCAAGATAGTATCTTCTCAGCATAACTGACTGCAGTTCAACATCCTTAGGGCAACAATTCAAGGAAGCTTCTCTGTGATAACTGTTATTCCAACACAAACTTTCTAAGTTCTCGGGCTTACCTGAAATTCATTAATAGTTTGCATCCACACATGTAATCAGTTTAGTTTACACCCTCACTTTGTGCACACATTGCAGGTTTTGAAGTTATTACTGATCTGCAACCGTTTTCTTCACATCTATATGTGAGAATTCCAAAATATACACAAGAGCAGCCATTTCCTCCTGAATACTGGCTGTTGAGCTTCTAGAAAGAGTATTTGGAGGCAAGAGTTTTGCAAGTGATCAAAATGCTACTTTTTCTGCTTACACTGAGAGGAAAACAGAACCAAGGTCAAGCTTATCCACACCCCTCCAACACTTTGTCCAGCTCATTCATACATTATGGATTCAGATAAATTTGGATTGCTAGGAGTCAGGTGTACAAACCAATTAGAAGCATTTGTAGGTAACTAAGTCATTCCTATGTAGCCCAAGAAGTTCATGCTGTTACTAACTTGCAGAGAAAAACTTGTTATGCCTTCAGTGTCCAATTTTCAGAAAGACAAAAGTGTTTGCAATGCACTCACAAAAAAATTCTGAAGACTTTTCCCTGTTTATTTTTGGCCGGATTTTCAACCATATGTGTATTGAGCCATGCTAAGCTATTTTATGCCATGCCCTTTTCTTATGCATGCTCACAGTTCTTCCAGCATTCAAATTAGGGAAGCCTACATCTCAGAAAGTTTGTGTAGGAAAAGCTGCCATCTCTACCCATTTGTAGGAGGAGACCTAAAAGTCAAAAGGAAGAACAGGAAGTGCCATCATGCATTTGAAAGGAGAGAAAGCAACTAGGAAAAATCCACTCAGTTCTTAATTCCTTTCAAATTTCTGTGAACTTTCTTTTTTTCCAAAAAAAGCATCTCCTTAGATGAAAACTTAATGAACAAATCACTTTCAGAGATCTCCCTTTTCATTTGAACTATGGATTTCATTCAAGAACCAGCTGATTAGTTAGCTATTAAAAACTAGGCATTAAAAAAATCCAAATTAAAGAGAGTAAGTGCTTACTTTTGTCATTCTACATTAAAGAACTAATTTCAAAAGGCAGATTAAAGATTTCAAGTAATTATATGCAGGACTTCTACCACTCTGAAATCCAGGTACATATAACAGGAATAGAATTTTATTTGTAGTGTATAGAAATGCCAATATGCAGGAGCAAATCAAAGCAAGTTCAATCCTGCAGCTGTCCTTTTTCCCCTCAGGCTTTAGGGAGTTTTTTGTTTAGTGTATATACCTGGGGAAAGTCTTAACATTCAGCACTAGATGCTGTGACACAATCTGCTTTGCTGTTTCTACACTGCTACTGCCTGATTAATCTGTATTTTCAGCAACAGATGAGAAGGTTGTTTTGAAATGAAGGTGATCTGCTTACAGAATTTAGTTTATAATAATATTATTTACAATGGTTTAAAAAAAATTGGATGTCACCAATTATCTAAAACGGCACTCACTGGACAGATTTTCTCTGTAATTTAAAGAACTGGGAGAATTTAAGGATAACTGAAACTTGATTCCTTGCAAGTTGCATCTCATGGTTTGCCCATTTAACACTCAAAAATTGTCTTTGTATAGCTGTATGTTTAAGATCAGTATAGAATTATACAGGAAAATTCACTGTTTTGATTTGTAGAAGTATTAAGTTGTTTGGACAAATGCTTCAGAGAGACGTTTACTTTAGAAGGATGAAACCGTGCATGTCAATTATGTAACAGAAGAAGAGAGGAAAACATGAAGAATAAAGCTCTACTCTTCCATTGTGATGTAGGTCAGATATCTGCAAGCAACCATGCATAAACCCAAAAAATAAAGAATTTTAAAAGTGTCAGTGTGTGCTTTCTTGCTTTTAATTGTTGAGAAAGCATAATATTTTAATCAGGAGAGAATCTGTCCAGGCAATATCCCCATATTAACTTAGGATCAGCACTTTTAGACAAAATACAAGGAATCAGTCTATGATACAAATGTATTTTGTCACAAATAATGCAAATCCTTTGTTTTAGCCTCATGAAAAAACAAAAGTTGGTTTTGTTGTTTCATGTAGAAGCTGTTCCAGACAGATCTTCATCCCTCATCATTTTCAAGAATGAAAATTTCTAAGAAAGAGAGTAGTATGAAGTAAATACATTCACACTCAGATGTGATTATAGTTTTAGCTATGCTCCTTTAACATGCTACAAATCTTACTCTTTTTTTCTCTAGGAAAAATTCCATCAGAAAGGCCACACCATTAAATTTCAGCAAAAAACCTGGAATAAATCTTATCATAGTCCTCAAGTAACAGAAACATTTAAACTGTTGACCAGTATCCAGGCTCATCTTGCCAAGACTATGACTACTGTAAGTCAATTAGATATGTGAGGTGAGGAAGTGTCTTACCTATTTGAAGCAATCCAAAAGATGGATTCATCTTCTAGGATCACACACTCAAGCACTTAATTTGTGCTAACATACACCTTGAAGACCACATTTATAAATACATTTTAACTGAAATATTGAATTTGGACTATCAGTGCAAAATAATTAACCCACAGGCTAACATGAAACCATGGGAGAGGGCGATAAAAAATTCAAGGAAAAGACACTTTTTAAGCATACATGCATAGAGTATAAAGCATAATTTTTTCAGACAGTATCTGTTTGCCAAACCTTGTACGTATCCTCTTGCCATTTAAGCTTCCTATCTAATTTTTAGAAAGCCTTCCACTTCTGAGCTGCTTAGTGTAGAAGCCTATCATTCTTTTCGAGAAAGCGGCAGCACATTCATAGGTTCTTTAGTTTGTCAGAGAGAGAATACAGGAAAACTCAGCGTGTGTTTTACAACTATAGACATACATTACAAAAAGGTCAGCCAAAGATAATTTAGAATGTGATTGGGACAAGGCTCAGGAGAAGGGTAGCAATTTTAGGTACTGTGATCTGACAAAAGCAACTGCATTGCAACTTCCAATCCAAGGACTCAAATATTTACATTCATACATACATACTGCACACCAATAAAAAGATCCCTCTTTAGGTAAAGGTCATTTTAAAGAAATAGTGAAGAATCTAAGTATTCTGTGGCAGAAAAGGTGTTTCATTAAAATACACAAATATTGGTGGCCTTTAAGAAAGTCACCATAGGCTGCTGTTTAATCATCACCTTTTTGAACAACTTGGTATTGTGGAGGAAAGATTTGAGGAAGGAAAAGAAGTATATACAGGAAAAAAAAGCAGATCAATCACTGAAACCAACACACCCTATTAATATAGTTCTAAAACATTTTAACATACTTTACACTGTGTCTCATGAGATGAAGGACAAGAATATGTTGTAGCGCAATGAAATTGCTTTGACAAATTGCTCAGTTATCACCTTTTGGGATTCAAAGTGTATATGTCACCATGCTCCTGGTTTGTTCACCTCTACTTCTGTCTCACTGAAGTTTAGTGTGTGTCTTCCTCATTTTTATATTAAAGGTGCTCCAAAGCACTTCCTACAACACTCAACCCTGCTGCTTGGTGGAGCATCTATTTTCTGCATCTTTTCAAGAACATCCTTTGGTAGATTTTTATGTGCAATTCTGTACTTATTATCAAAGACCTCTGAAATAGAAAAAGTATAGTTGAAGTTATTTAAGAAACCCTGTACAGTGCACACTACTGTTCCTATAAAATACTTTTGGTGATTTTTGTATAATAACAAAACAATTATCTTAACTAGCCACTGATTTTTTTTTCAAAATGCATCCTCTCAGAGAACCTGAAAAGCATATTCATGCTGGAACATCACAACGCATCACAGTGGATGCCCATTACTTCTATCACAGTTCAGTTTGCCTGCTCCCTGGGTATTTCCCCTGTCACATCCCATAACGGAGTTCCTTTGCTTGCATAGTATCACATAGAAGTCAGGGTAGACGAGACCAAGAAGGGGTGGGCAATCAGGTGGGTAGATGACATAGGTCTAATATGTGGGTTGGACAAATATGGACAAGACTGGGAAAAAGTTTTCAGACATGAGGAATTAAAACTTCCAGCTAATAAGCTTTGTTTAAATAACTGATTGGTGGTTTCAAAAAAAGTCAAAGTTAATGGCCCCATCTGAATTACATTTTCATAAAAGCAGCACCTACTTGAAGAGTGACAGCACAGTACTTTTCACTAAAACACAGCAATTGAAAAGTTTCTAAGTAACTCATGGATGAAAAGTCGATTTTATATGAACACTTTATATGAAAACTAGTGTATACCTCATACACAGGCACTATGCATTTCACAGTAGTTCTTTACTTACCAATGTCAATGTTCTCTCTTCCAAGAGACACCAGAGACAGGAAAAGAATTTCTCTGTAAAAACTCCTAGGAAATATTTTGAAGGGCAAGTCAATGAAAGCACCAACTATCCTAAGTTTAGAAAGTCAATGTTGAAGACGCTAATCTTCCATTATGTAGTTTCTGCAACTGTTCTGTTAATCTTGCTTGTGAAGAAAGTGACCGATCTACTTGATTACTAGCTTAAGGTTTTCTCATGCCTGAATATTTTTCCTTAATGCATGAAGTTATTTTATTGCCAAATCCCAGCAGTTACATTTTCTATGAAAAATCCCTCTGCCAAACATGCCATAAAAAGTCCAGAAAAACAAGAAATATAAAATTAAGCGCCACATATATTAACTTATTCCTGTCTGAGGGTGAGTACAGGGAGCAGGCTTATTTCAGACCACCCATACTTTGTTTTTTGTTTCAGAATGTCATGATCCATCTCAGAACTGGATATCTCTAAACAATTAGATATTAATTTTTTTCCTTGTGGAACTCAAAGATTCTTCTCTAGGCAGATTAGTTCTTGTTTCTTTTTAGTAACTACAAACCACAGAAGCAAAGATGACAGCATGACAGACTTCAAACACATCTTGTATCTGCTGTAATTTACTTCAGAGGCTGTGCTTTTGTATGAAGCCCTCTCTGAATTGTAGTGCAGATGACAAAAGGTACTGTACAAGTGTTATTTACGTGTCTTGCTGTGTTTGTGGATCATGTGGATCATCCACTTTTCTTAGCCAGTACTCCAGGTTGGTAGAATTTCAACAGGTGTAACTAGGTAGTTTGGAGAATATTCCAGACACTGCGACAGGACGCTGCACAGTTGTATTTATCAATTTGCTACATCTGGAGCAACACCAAAATCTGCATAGTCAATATCTGTGTTTTTCTTATTCATTTGTAAAATGTCCATTTTGATTAAAGAATTACATTTATCCATTTGATTTGGATGAATTATGCATATGGCTACAGAATGCATCTGTTTGTAAACATGGACATAAACAAATATACACAGTGTTTGGTGGACACAAATGAAACTGAATATTCCTGAGAAGTCCTTATGGAATTATAATTATGAAGGGTATATGGTCTGATCTTGTTTAACTTTCAAGTGGGGAGAAAGTAAGAAGAGATTACTCCTTTACCTCTGTCGTTTCACATCTGGCTTAACTTGCTGTAGAAGGAGGTTGATTGGTTTATCAACATTATTGTGTTCAATACTTAGTTTGATGTTCTCCAACAAAGTGTTTATTGCCTGCTGGTCTTCTGCCACTGTGGATGATCTCTTTTCAGAAGAATCTGGGAAATGCAACAGTATAGATTATTAAAACAGTAAAGATCTTTTTTTTTCACTTTAATAAGCAGAAGGTATTTCAGAAAGTGAGATATATACAGAACTTCTCCTCAATCTACAGAAATTTGTTACAATGGAAAGGCTTTGTCTGCTTATAGTCTTTACGCCACCACAAAAGTGAGATGATGCATCAAGTATCCATGTGCAAGAGCTCCCACATGACAGAGAAATGCAAGACACTGAAGAGCATCCAGCATCAGATGTTGCCTGTGATAGTTTGTTAGCTCAGATTTATTGCTAAGTTCACTCCAAGAAGGTTATTTTTACACAAAGGAAAAGAAATAAAAGAAAACACAGTCACGTTTCTTATCAAAGGAACTTTTCTTAAAGCTTCTTTAAGAAAGGCTTCTCAAAGCCCTTCTTAAAAGCCACCTACAATTCATTAACAACTTTGGGCTACATATTGAAATAGATAATGCACAGCTGCACCAAATGGGAGAGAAAATTGTCAGGACATTTACCATCATGATTTGTTGCTTACATTGCCACTTCCACAATAACACTGAACTATTATGCTTTGGAAAACAGTGACTCATGAGGGAAGAGTAAGTCCATTTACTGGCAAAAAAATAAGGCTACAGATTAGGCAGCAAGCACGTGGCATGTAAATGAAATGTAGACCAAGGCAAGTAATCACAATCACCCCAACCTAAAGTTTTCATAAAAGTGACATATATGATGGTTTACAAATGTAATTTCCTGTCTTCCAAATACTTCCTGACACTGCTGTAGAGCCTATCTACAACCAGTACTACTTCTTTAAAACAGGCCTTTTGCTCCTTTTGTTTACATAAATACATACATTTATGCATCTTCTTTCATGTCTGAATGCTTTGGGGATGCTCTTCACATATTATGCTCAAATCAATATGCTTTTGTAGATGCTGAGGGAAACACCACATCTTATTCTGTGCTCTTGACTGTAATTTTCTGATCAGTCTGTTTTTAAGACACTTTTCAACAAACCCTTTTCTCTTCCTTAGAACCAGAATTAGCATGCTATCTAGCTTTTAGCATAGTTTTTAAAAGTTAAAACACAGACTGAGAAGTTTAGGTCAACAAAGGGTTTTTGCTGATCAGAAGTAATGAAGTCCCCAAGTTCTCATAACCAGTCTGCTGGTTTTTTCTTCCTTCCAAATCAAGTTATGGTAGACAAAGGCTTTCTTGGATCTTACTTTTTGACAGCCAAGTAGGATCCCAAATATATATATTAATGGGACTTGTGACCTTTCATTCATTTATAGAAGCACTAGATACTTTTTTGTAATACATTCTTCTTCATGCCTGCATAGGTATAACCAGATAATGCAGTGAAACATTCAAATCAGGTGAAGCTTATTTAGCACATGTCTAGGGCAAATCCTCCCACCCTGTTTATAAGTGTATTGCATACAAAGAACAGATAACATACCTTTTCACACAGATCAGTAAGATGACACTGAGACTGTGCCAAGTACCTAAGGGACTGCAGATGCTTCACACACTAAAAAAGCATTTCAACTTGATGGGCTGTATACATTTCAGACACTACAAACCAACTATTTCTTTCCACAGCCTCTGCTCCCTCTGCTTTCTGTAACATTTGCTTTACTTACTGAGATTTCTCCAAGATATATATAGTGGATCCCCTGGCTCTTGGTGGAGGTTGGTATTATCCCACAGAAGATGGATGTATACTAGCTTGCTATCTTGAGCAAGAGATGTCAAAGGAAGCTAAAAAACATGAGGAAAGGGAAAAAGTTTTAAAAAAATCAGTACAGTCTTATTATTTAAAAAACTGCTCTTTTACTCATCTTGTAAACAAAAATATGTTTACTTTATTTATCTTGAATCTAACAAACAGGAACTGTTGATGTCTTCTACAGGAAACTGCACTCAACCAGAGCAAAGTCACAAGTACTGCAACATTTAATTGCCTTTTCTAGTTTAGCTTAACATATGAAGACCATTCAGTTTTCTACAGGTATCTGAAGAAAATATTTATGAGTATGTATCCAAAAATATTTTTTGTGCACCAAACACATTACTTGATTTGTACCACTTATCATGCCACATGTTAGTATCTTCTGACCTGATTAAGAGTTGGTGTGCATGTCTATGTGTTGTTCTTCCCAACAAGCAGAAAGAATCTATATTTGCACACAAATATGAACCATTTATTTCCATTAAAGATATATGGCACACCAAACAATACTTCCATAATTGTTTTATAAAATTATGTGCCTCTGGAATCACTAATAAAATAAGAATTAGTAGGCAAGAAAATTTACCACGAGTGTGTCAATTTAAAGTAGTGATTACAAGAGACTATGTCCCATCTTGTGGTTTTCCCTGCTAATGCGTTGTATTTTTCCAGTATAGAATCACAGAATCATTTAGGTTGGAAAAGACTGCTAAGATCATCAAGTCCAACCATTAACCTAACACTACCAACTCCACCACTAAACCAATTCAGGGTAGAGTAGTAATTTCATGTTTCCTGGCTTGGTGGCTGGATTATTTTTTAATGAAAGTAAAAACTAGGAATCATTAAGATTGGAAAGGATCTCTAGAGATCGTCAGTCCCACCATCAACCCAACACCACCATGCCTACTAAACCGTGTCCCAAAAGTACCACATCTACCCGTTTTTTGAACACTTCCAGGGATGGTGACTCCACCACCTCTCTGGGCAGACTGTTCCAATGCTTGAGTACTCTTTCCATGGAGAAATTTTTCCTAATATCCAATCTAAACCTCCCCTGACACAGCTTGAGCCCATTTCCTCTCATCCTATCGCTAACTACTTGGGAGAAGAGACCAACACCCACCTCAGTACAACCTCCTTTCAGGTAGCTGTAGCAAGCGATTAGGTCTCCCCTCAGCCTCCTCTTCTCTAGGCTAAACACCCCCAGTTCCCTCAGCTGCTCCTCATAAGGCCTGTGCTCCAGACCCTTCACCAGCTTCATTGCCCTTCTCTGGACACACTCCAGCAACTGAATATCCCTCTCATACTGAGGGGCTAAAGTATGCTTTAGATTTCATTAGTACTGATCTTCAACTACGTTTCTTGGAAAATTGTTCTTGGTTCTAGGTGGGTAGTCTTTTGAAAATTGAGGGAGAGAATTTTAAACTTCAAGTACATACAGGTAGATAGGAAAATACTGCTTTTTTATGTTCATCATATACAAATACCTATTGAATTTGTTATTTACTAATCAAATAGGTTAAACTTTGCTAATCAAATAGGTTTCAGAAAAACATCTGCTCAAAATGGGAAAAGTAAAATACTCAAAAGATAGCATCCATTCTACATTCTTTTGTTCTATTCATATAGTAATGAAACTCAGTGGAATTTGAATAGCAAAAACTGTTAGTAGAAAAGAACAAAAAATATTGACCAATAGCTTAAAAGGTTTATATACTGAAGTATGTAACCCACACTATGTGGATTACAATGTATTGCAATTTGTGAGTTCTCCACAGACACATCTTGTTTCCTTCCATGTATCAGCTTTCTCTTTAATGAATCTTACTCTCTGGCTTTTTAAAAGAGAACAGCTTGACTAGAATTTGAATGCTGTTTTCACTCATGTTCCTTCAAGATTCCTTGTGGAAAACAAATCTATCTGCTTGTATTATAAAAACCAGGAAAAAAAACAGGAACCTAGATCCAAGCTACTTAAAAACTTAGCGCAGTTTTTTTGAACCAAACTCTCAAATTTAGCTTACTTTAATATCTGTAGTTCTAATATGAAGAAGCCACTTACCTGCACTCCATCATTACAGTGTTCAGATGTTAGAATGAGTCCAGGTAAGTTGCTAGGTAGATCCAGCCGTCGGAAATACCAAACTAGGTTCCAGAAAATTATGGGGTGTTGATTGATGAATTTGGACGTATGAATTACTTGCTCTCCCTCATTTTCCAACAGTGACTCAAGCTCCTTACGCAGTACCAAAGGGCTCAAGTAGGGTACAGATACAGGGAGAGGGTTAGGTCTTTTTATTAAAGGATCCTAAAACCAAAACAACACACACAAAAGAAAAATTGCTTTTTTTACAAAATCAAAGATTTTTCTTCCAGAAATAATATTCAGGATTACTTGCCCTGAAAATCCCCCATTGCAGAGTTTTTTTTGATATTTGGAAGAAGCCCCTGGAAGTACTGAACACACAGTAGCTTTAATAGCATCAGCAGTTTTGACTTCAAGTTCTTCAAGTTTCTTAACTTCAAAGAACAATCACCTAAGTTCTCTCTATTACGTGAAAAAGAGAAAATGCTGATTTGTTATAACTTGTTCCTGACTGTGCAGTTTCAAGCTATCTAAGCTGGTACTAAGCCAGTGGCTATGGAGATTGCAGAAAAATTTCAGTAATTACATCAGCTGTGGAACTGAATCATGAGTTCACATGTTAAGACAGCTTCTTACAAAAAAAAAGCACCAGGACACAGGAGAAACACTTTGTTTCACCTGCAAGAATAATGTAATAGTCTCAACACTATCTCTTCCTTCTTCCACCCACTCAACAGGTAAGCCTAACAGAACATAGAGGAGTGTAAGTAAATGTGTGGAAAAGGAACAAACAAAAGCAAATGCTCTCGCAACAGTGTGTTGTTTTCACTATTGTGTTTAGTCTGCTGTAGAAGTTGGGTTACTTTTAAAACAAACTTCCAGTTTTAGAAGGAAAAGACTAGCTTCATTCTGCTAGAGAGAACATTTCAAATCAAGCAGCACCATTTGTACAACGTACTGAAAAAAACAATTTTAGATTAACTGAACCAAGATTTTTTTTGTCATAAGAACATGAAAATATGGTTGGTCATTCCCATTCCCCAAATGGACAAGAAGCTAGTAGTAGAACATTATTCATTTTAAGTTCATTGCATTCAATATTTTGCTGTCAACTGAATGTACAGCTTCAAGACTTACCACAACTTCTTGCAAACTATTTGGAAGACTAGCTGTTGAAATGCCATGAGACGGTCTCTGGGAAAGATCAATGTTTTGCAGTGGACCTCCAACACTGTGGCTCCGAGTCAAGGACACTCCCCTTTTTGGTGGATTACTGGCAGATGTCTTCATGGTTCTGAGATCTTTACTCTGTTCTTCTGCCACATCACTGTTTGGATTTTAGAAGAGAATATGCTAATATGAAACTATTCAGCATTCCTATGGCAACAGGAAGGAAGCAGAGAAAGGCTGCCAAGTAAGTATCCCAGCCAAGCTTCTCTATTAATAGGGAATCATATTTGCCCAGTTAGCTCCACAGTTTAGGGAAAACAAAACAAAATGCCTCTCAGAACAGCATAACCATCCCTCCAGAAAAGCAGCTAGGTATATCCTAAGACATGAATCTGAAAGCACTGCAGTTCTGTATAGGTATCGCTCTGGTATAGCTTTACCTTGCTTAGAAAAACAGCAACATACAGTTTTGTCAACACAAAAAGACTATCTTGTTCTGACTATGCTCATTTTTACTTCCTCTTCCCTTTGTGTTTACTCTCTAAATGTCATAAGCAGAGCAAAAATATTATAGAAAACTACTTATAAGTTGCATGCCAAAATAATTGGAAAAAAAAAATTGTGTCAAACTCATCCAACAAGATAATTTAAGGAAACTCCTATTACAGGCTTGTCAAATTTAACCCATACAATCAAGCTGCTTGCAGATCTGGGAATATTCATTTTGTGCCCCTTATAACTGAAACAATGGATAAAAACAATTCAACTACAATACAGAAGAAAAAACAAGTGAAACAAAGTATCTGCTTCCAAATAATCTGCAAAGAGAGGGTAGAGATTAATTCAGAGGTAACCTTCACTCTAAGTGTGATTTTAGTTAAAAATATGACACCAAAGTAAAGAGATTAACATAAGCAATACCACCTTTCATTTTTAGAGTATTAAGACTATCACATCAATTTAAATTTTAACAGTCTGACACAGCCATTTGCTCATTAGCTCACAGGCATTGATACTCAACAATTCCAAACTGAATAATGATTTAAAAAAACCCTATTACAAAAAAGTCAACAAATCCCAGCAAAAAGGTCACAATTCATAGCAGCACTATTTCAGTTCCTCCCTCTTCCAACATGACACCTTTTCCTTAATGCTTCTTTCCTCAAACTGTTTTAAAAGTGGTATTGTTTTTCAGAGCTTCAGTTTTACATCAGTATTATTTGTCATAGAACACATGTTCAGTACAAGTGTTGAGTGCTCCAAGAGCTTTCTCTCAAAAAAGAGTGTTCCAGCACATGGACTTATTTTTCCTCATAATGCAGTGTCCTTCTTGTTAAATTCTAAACAGAAAGAAAGGAGGAGTATTACTTAAATTTCTGTGTCTCTTTAAAAGGTAAGTGTGTTCTAACAATACTGAGTAGAAGTTTTACCTATTACTCAGTAGTGGATGGACCTGAAGATTTAGTTACCTCTCTAAAACCCACTCATTTAGTGGAATGAGCTTAGTTCAAATTGATAAAAGCACGCTTAAAACATGCAGAAACAATGAGAGGAAACAGATGATCATCCAGTTACAACTGTACTTCTCCACCATATTTGGTAAATAAGCCAACCTTCACTTCAGAAGTAGAGGAGAAACACTGGAAGTGTTGATACATTTCTGACAGAACAACCCAGTTTTACCTACCTCTGCTCAGCTGCAGAGCTAGTTTCTTCAGCTATGGTGTGGCTGGACTGTGGGTGATCTGAAAAACTGATCAAGTCAGCAACAGCTGGACTGGACAACATTTTCTGCTCAAGGGGATCCGTGGTTAATGGAAGGGTACCACTCTGTAAACTATCTCCTGAGGTACTTTGCTTCAGGAAAAAGCTGTTACAACACGAATGGGAGGGGAGAGAAATACAAAGGTTAAGATGTAAGCATAAAGTCATTAAAATAGTTATTATTTTCTATATTTACTGTCAAAAAGTAGCAAAAATAAGGAAACACAACATTAAAAAGCTTAACAACAGGACACAAACTTCATCCTACTCTCTCCACTGTATCTTATATAGGCAGAGTAAACGAACACATACAGAGATTTGATTTGCAAAATAAGAAATCCTACACTAGATGTAAGTCATTACAAGTGACCTTAGTTCATCATGGTTCCCAAACAATATATCAATAGCTGACACATCACTGAAAATGGCTGTTACTGTAAAGTGACTTTACAGATTAGGAGACCATACACCATTATAGGCACAAGATAACAGGAACGTGTCTTGCTTTGCTAAGGTTTTTTAAGTACATAGTCTACAGATGTTCAGTTTCAGCATTAGATAACACTAATGGAAGCTCCGTTTCACAGCAACAACCACTACAGTAAGAATCCATTTTAAATTACCTTAAAGTAAGTTCCAGCCTTCACAGTGCAATTAAAAGAGGTAAAAATAGTAAGCAGAGAAGCTTAAATTGGAGAACTACTGCAGAAACAGTAAGCTGGAGCATCTGTAACTAAAACCTGTTAGTTTATTTACTTCGGAAGAAATTCTTTGCTGACAGATTAAAACACTGCTTTATATACTTTTAAAAAGTTCATGATCCATTAGCTTTGTTTTAAAAGCTAAACAAAACAAAAACACACACCTTCTGTACAGTTATGCTTATAAAGAAAATACAAAAAGAAAAAGTGGTAAAAAGGCAACCAGCTCTTTGCTTTTTGGCTGTTTTACAATGAAACTCAATAGTTTACGTGACTTCTAATTTCTTTCAGTACAATCATGACCATCGAACAGGCAGTGACATTCTTCTGAACTTCTAGACAAAAATACTGGGAGATCCTTTTATGAAAAAAGTATAACCATGTACAAGTGCAAAGGCAGAAAAAGAGTATCTATAAAACCCACTAACCTTGCAGAACCACGTAGGTCTTTAAATTCAACATTAAGTAAAGGTAGGAAGGTACTTTTACAGAAAGGGCAGGTAGTGTTCAAGTTTGAATCATCTGCTGTCCATCCAGCCATAATTTCTTCATCATAAACCAAAGCACCACAAACTCTACATTGAGAGCAGCTTGACATCAATACCTAGAACAGCAAAGAATGAATATTATCTGTCTTGTTTCAGAGTTCTTTTATAATTTGCTTTATAGCCTTAGTATCCACAGGAGCTTAACAGGTATCAGAATGTCAGCTGGGAGGCATGAGTTCAACACTACTTACTTGCCATACTCAGAGTCATCTTGTCCGCATAAGTCTTACCTATAAAATGCAAATACTAATAATTTATTTTTCTTAGGTATTTTGAGACCTGGAAGAAGCATAACCCTGAAATGCTACTAATCCAGCATTTGCCATTGCTCGCTCCTATGAAGCCTTCAGCATATATGAATTGTTTTGAATTGTGTAAGTAAATGCATGTCTGCTTCTCCAAAAAAGAAAAAAAAAAGCCAAACAACCAAACACAAAAGAAACCTTTATAGTGATGTGGCTGGATGCCAGGTGCCCACCAAGCCACTCTATCACTCCCCCTCCTCAACTGGACAGGGGGAGAAAAATACAACAAAAGGGTCATGGGTCAAGATAAGGACATGGAGATCATTCAGCAGTTACCATCACAGGCAGAACAGACTCGACTAGGGGAAATTAATTTATTGCCAAACAAAAGTCAAAGTAGGGTAGTCAGAAATAAAAAACAAATATTAAAACACTTTCTTCCCACCCTTCCCTTCTTCCTGGGCTCAACCTTACTCCCAACTTCTCCACCTCATCCCCACAATTGGAGCAGGTGGACGGGGAAAGGGGGTTGCAGTCAGTTCATCACACGTCTCTGCCACTTCCTCCTCCTCACTCTTCCCCCCTGCTCCAGCATGGGGTCCCTCCCATGGGAGACAGTCCTCCACGAACTTCTCTGATGTGGGTCCTTCCCATTGGCTGCAGTTCTTCATGAACTGCTCCAGCACAGGTCCTTTCCATGGGGTGCAGTCCTTCAGGAGCAGAACGCTTCAGCATGGGTCACCCATGGGGTCACAAGTTTAGCCAGGAGCCTGCTCCGGCAGGGTCTCCAGCCCACAGGGTCACAGCTTCGTTCGGGAGCATCCACCTGCTCCGATGTCAGGTCCTCCACAGGCTGCAGGTGGACATCTGCTCCACCGTGGACCTCCATGGGCTGCAGGGGCACAGCCTGCCTCACCATGGTCTGCACCAGGGGCTGCAGGGGAATCTCTGCTCCGGTGCCTGGAGCACCTCCTGCCCCTCCTTCTTCACTGGCCTTGGTGTCTGCAGGGTTGTTCCTCTCACATATTCTCACTCCTCTCTCCCAGCTGCTGTTGCGCAGCAGTTTTTTTCCCCTCTTAAATACATTATCAGAGGCACTACCACCGTCACTGAATGCTCAGCTTTGGCCAGTGGCTGGTCTGTCTTGGAGCCGGCTGGAACTGGCTCTATCAGACATGGGGGAAGCTTCCGGCATCTTCTCACAGAAGCCACCCCTGTAGCCTCCCTGCTCCCAAAACCTTGCCATGCAAACCCAATACAAGTGGAAAAAACAGAAAGTTGTTTTTTACCTAATAAAAGTCTCATTACCAAACTAGATTGAGAACAGGAGAAAAGAAGGTAAAAAAATAATCCTGTTCTTGCTGAAGAATGGTCTATAATCCTTATTTTTTAGGCTTCCTCTTACTTTGTTTCACTCTCACAGGAAAAAAAAAAAATAAAAACCACCACCAAACACAGCATGTAATACATTTTAGATCAACACAACATATATTTTAGATATTTGCTCAACGGCAACATTTTTCTTTTACTATGCTACATCCCTTATATAATGCAGTGCAGAATTTTGAGAAGTTTAGAACACCAGAAGATCAAACATAAAAGAAAATTACATGGGACCTAGCAAAATAACTCTACAGCCAAAAGAAAAACAACCAAGACAAATGCAGTGACCATTGCCGATGTATCTGAAGTCTGAAAGGACCTACAAGTGATAGCTGAAACAGAGAGACATACTAAACCATTATTGTGCTGGGTTTGGCTGGGATAGAGTTAATTTTCTTCATAGCAGTCTTTATGGTGCTGTGTTTTAGACTGGTGACCAACTCCATGTTGATAACACAACAATGTTTTAGCTATTGCTGAGCAGTGCCTTACACACCACCATGGCCTTTTCTTTCTCATTCTATTCCCAACCCAGAGAGGAGGCTGGGGGTGGACAAGAGGTTGGGAGAGGACACAGCCAGGACAACTGACCTCAGCTAACTGAACAGATACGATAAAGCATCACGCTCAGCGATAAAACTGGGGCGGGGAGGGGGGCAGTTTTTCCAAGGTAGCTGTTGTTTGGGGTGTCATGGTACTGACTGATTTTCTTTGTATCACTTATTTTTTGTTGCCCCCCTCCTGTTCCGCACCCCTCCCCCCAATTCACTTATTAAATTGTCTTTATGTTGACCTCCAAGCTTTTTTCCTTGCTTCTGCCCTTTCAATTCTCTCCCCGATCCTGATGAGTGGGGAGTAAGCAAGTGTGTGGGTGAGGGCTTAGCTGCTAGCTGTGGTCAACCCACCACAATTATTTAGTAATAACACATAGTTTTCATAAGCCGGGACACACACACACCCCCCAAAAAACTTGAAAAAAAAAAATCTTGTTTCCTCTCAAATTTCTGTCTCATTTCAATTTTTGATCCTTCCCTCAATTGTCTCATCTCTCTATATACGACAGATATATAAAAGTGTTTAACACACTTTCCTTTTTTTACAGCTACTTTTAGCCCAGGGTGTGACGGTATCAAGCATCTTTGCAGTAGAAATATGGAAAAAAATAATTTTGAAAAATCCAAGCACAACCCAGCTAAACAGGTAATTAATGCATACAGTAATATTGAATAATTATATCTTTCATCTATGAGTTTATTAATCTTACCTCCATTGCATAGTTCTGGCAAATGCTGGATAAACTAGTATTATGTGAAGAGCTGTGCTCTGACTTCTCAGAATCTAGAACTTTCATACTTCTTGGGAATGAAACTTCACCTGTACAGAAAGAGTTGTTTGGGTCTTGTATTCAAGGAAAGAGAAATTCATCCATTCCCAAAGAAAATAATTTCTGTTCAACCAAGACGGAAAATTGTACTAGAAGATCTCCAAAGATACGTGTAGCTCTGTAACTTCACTGATACTATAATTACAATATAGATAAATATAATTTTTGTGATTAACATTTCAAAGTAATTTTTGTCTAATACAATATTTCACAGACTGGTAAAGAAAAAAAAACATCAGTGAATAAAATCTGAAAATACAAAGAAAGAATAAAGAATGGCAAAGAGCAGTAAGATTGCTCAATATATATACTCAAAAAAGTTGTTCAAGATTTCTTGAATGATACATCCATATGTAAATAGCAAACAGAAGGATAGTACCAGGCGAGACATATGGCACCAAATATGCCATTACTGTGCTTAAGTTCTCCCTGGATAACATTGCAGTAAAACAAATAATCTTTCTTAGGTAAAGCTGGGTTTTAGGGTTATGAGCTTTGCCTGGGAGAAGGGGAAAAGGAGTTGCAATATATTTACCAGAAGGATATGGCTGGAATCGGTTTTAGGAAGCAAAACTATCAGCATTACTTCCTCTGACAAGCCCAGTCAAACTTTCCTGTTCAAAAAATCACCACCAGAGTTCCCTCATCATAAAGGCGGCTCCTCTGCTTCTTCAGCTAAAATTTATATTTGTGAACAAAGTTTACATATCCTGTTGGCGGCTGCCACTCTTTATAGTTAGTTCTTATAACCCTCCTAACTAACTGGAACCAGAAGATACTTTGTCAAGATTTTGCTAGACAGGGCCAGCTCATGTCCGGTCCCCAAGATAGTTCTTCTCCTCTTGATGCAGATAGCTTTATGATATTTGCATCATTGAAGTACTGCAGAGAGAGCTAAACCAAACCCCCAGCTGGTTCAGCAACACATCTTTTCCTCAAAACAAGAATCAAATCTAATTGAATCAAATCTGAACTGAAAATGATAAGATTTACTTCATCTAGTTTTAGAACTGGGTGGTGGGGGCAGGACAATTTAGCAACATATATTCATCAATTATTTACCTTCACAACTTCAAATCAACTATACATCCAATACCTCCTGTTCCAAAGTAAGCTGATGAAGTTTTTGTGTGTTGCTTTGTTTTTTTGTGGGCTTGGGGCTGTGGGGTTGGTTTTGTTTGTTTGTTTTCGGTTTGGTGTCCCCCCACACTCCCCCAAAAGATTTGCCTCTCTTATGCAACTATTTGCAGTTCTTGAACACTGCTCTGCTTTTCTGTATTAATATTTCAAGAACTTTCAGGGTATTAGGACTTTACATGAATGAGAAGGTGTTCCTGGCTATAACTAGTTAAGAATCTTCTATCACATACACAGAGGAAGTATTTTTACAGTTAAATCCCTGTATTTTGTATCAACTTTTTATACATTCAATGAAGAGAGACGCATTAGCTATTTGCTACTGCAAGAGAAGAGTATAGAATGGAAGTACAGATTTGCTTGTCTTTATTTTAAGCGCTTGAAATAATTTCAGATTACCATAGCTTCCACTGTTATGAATGATTTCACACATAATAGTTTTCCCTGTTTGTTATATTATAAACAAGTCATGAGGGGGAAACAAACAAACAAACAAAAATCTCACCTGCACTGTAATGCTGTCTTCCTGCATCTCCACTGCTACTGCTACTGCCAAGACTAGTAGTGCTTTGTGCAAGCTCATTCGTAATTAGCCCTGGGACTCCAGTTCTTGATGACGGATTATCTCCTAAAACATTATCTTCAAAACCAGCAGGGAAGTTAAAGTCTGGTTGACTGTTTTTTTCCTTTAGTAAAAGAAGAAGAAAATTAGCATTTTTGAGTACTTCCAGATCCATTATTTGACCTCCATCTTTATCTTAATGAATAAATAACTAAAGTAGCAGATTCAGATGAAATCCTCATGTAAAAAATTTATTAGATGTAAGATAAATCTATGCAACCCCAAAAAGAACAGATACCAGACAAACCAGAAGGATATTGGAAAAATGAAAGGCTTCAACAGTGAAAATACTTAGCTGAGGATCAAACAGTGACAAAGTGACAGGGATATAAACATCTTCATTACAGGAGAAACAGAAAAAATGATGCAGAAATTGCGATTTGGCAGACATTACACAAAATGAAGGAATTACCAAAAAAAGTCCAAGTTAAAGTAATATTTTCAGAATTGAAGACAGGAATGAAACATACCAGCTGAAATGATGCAGCAATAACACAGTCACTAAGACACAGGTTGTGGCAAAGTATAATAATTGGGATATTAAAAAAAGGAGGTTGCAGAAATAAAAGAGGAGAGAATGAGGAGATCCTTGAAGGAAACTGAAGTAAGTCACTTTAAGGTGATTATGATGTGCCATTAAACAAAATTCTACAGAATAGGTCAGTATAATAGAAAGGAACACAGGAAGACCTAGGTCACAGGAAAAAACACTCAGGAAAGAAAGCAAACCAGTGACTTTTCATTGCCACAGGCAAAATCTGGTTAAAAAAAATTAAGAAAAAAAATTTTTTTTTTAAATTTAATAGAAAGGCCCCTATTAGTAACATCAGTTAAATTTGTTTCACGTAGAAATAAAGCCAGACAGCTATCTTCCCCTTTCCCACCTTTTATGGAGGTTGGGGAAAGGAGGGAGAATTTGAAAAAGGGAACAAGAAGCTATCTTAACAGCCTGAAGAGGGCAGACAAAAGATCCTTAAAGCCAAACACCAGATCAAAGGATTAACTGGACCAAGCAGAGGCCTTCCTAATAGAGAAAGCTGTGTTTGGAGGCACAATTGCAAAATGCATATGGAAAAGAGGAAGTTATAATATTCATCCCTCCATCTCCTCTTTCATTCATGTCATTGTACTCTGAAATGTTTTACTCTGAAAAAGACTCTGTTAATCAAGTGCGCTCACACAAGAATGATAACATTTAGTTTCCAAATTCCTGACAAGTGAATTTACTAGATCTCAGGCTGTCCTTTACTACTTTAAATTTTAATCCTCACCAACCTGACTTCTTAGGTTTGTGATTTGTTTTCACAACCTTTTCTTAATTTTTAAAACAAGACAGACAGTA